GGTCGTCACTCCGTTCATCGAACGCTTTTTTTTTCTTATTGTATCTCTCGTGTATCCCACATCTTCTTTTTCTTCTTTTCTCTTTGATTTGCTTGTTCCTTGATCGAGTCTCTCTCCATACCCTGTACCAATCACTATACCACATGTTTACTCTCGATATTCATGCTTCTTATTTGCTGAGGATAATCAACTTAGCAGAATTCAGCGTGGGAACTTTCTTACTACTTCTTTTTCAGTTAGTTGTAACCTCTTGTAGGTGCTAAAGTTAGATGCTTTGTAGCGAACTCCGTGGACCTAATGTACAGAAGTTAACTACCTGGGTACGTTGTGTAGGTGGTACACTATGGTGACTGCGCGGGTGAGACTCGATACTAGAGCTTGAAAGTGCCTACATCCTCTCTAGACCGAAGTGGACAAGCGTAGAGCCCAAAGACAGGTAGACAATTCAATTCATTATTCAAACACAGCATAGATTGAGCCACAAGAAAGCAAATATGGACCTAAGTAAGATACCACTAAAAAGACCCCGTCCCAACCATGATGGGACGACGCGAGAAAAAACAAGATACGCAAAGAAAGAAAAGTAAGACCTGCCCATTCATCATGTAGACGCCATATTCTGAAGAGAATCAATAGAAAGGGTAAAATAGAAACAGAAAACGAAAATTGAAAAGAAACACCCCATATTTGATTTGACCTCCGAGAAAAGAACATGAAACGCAAAGTCAAGGCGAACTGTGCGACATAACCGAAAAAAAAGAGAAGAAAAGAAGGCAGTCCAGACCATCTGTGCATAAGATCGCGACAGAGGTCGTGATGCAAGTTGCATCTAAATCTTACTCGTTCTTGCCCTGAGTGACCTTGGCAGCCTGGATAGCAGACATCTTCTGAGTCCAGCCCTGGGTAGGCTGGGGCTTCTTGACGGTGCGGAGGTCATCGGTAGAGAAGCCCGAGATACGCATGTTGTAGTTACGCTCGAGGACGAGCTGGATATCGCGCAGCTCGAGGGTCGAGGAAGGGCGCAGCTTGGCGAGACGACAGGCCTGGGTGATGACCTCGTCGACGAAATCGTCTGCCATTTGGAGGATGAACTGGGGGAAAAGATTAACATGTTTGATCTCTTTTTTATTTGTCTCTCACTTTGAGGGGGAATAAGCTTACCTCTTCGGCATCTGGGGTCAGCATTTCTCCTTCGCCGCCACCGGTGACCTGGCGCACGAGGATGTCAAGCATCTTCTTGCTCAGGACGCGCTGGCCTTCACCTTCGAGGACGTAGCCGGGGTGTTTCTGGATCGCGGGCTGGCCCATCATGCCCATGGTGCCGTGGCTGGGACCACCAGAAAGAGAGGGACGGGAGCCTGGCATTGAGACGGGCTCGGGGGTTGAGGTGTGCAGGTTCTTGGGAATAGCCATGTTGGTGTTGCGGTTGGGTGTTTCACCTGGACGGTTGGCAAGATAACCCTGGGGGTGAGCCTGCTGGTTGGCCTGGGCTTGTTGGCTCATTGTCTGCTGTTGAGGGGTGGGGTTGGTGTAGGTTTGTGCAGCTTGTGAGATAGCAGCTTGGTGTGAGAGAGGACGAGGTGGGCCTTGGTTTACCTGTTGGGGAGGCCCTGGGGGTGTGGGAGTGGACCCGTCAGGATGGGGGTTTTGGCTGAAAGTAACTTGTCCTCCTGGAGTTCCTTGCTGGGAGGGAGGCTGTGGACGTTGAACCTGAGGAAGTGGTGCACTGATTGGGACTGGAGTGTTTCCAGCAGATTGGGCAGAAGGTGGTTGTCCAGGTTGAGAAGCAGAGGGGGACATGGCAGTTTGGCGCGCTGCGTTGACCGCTGAGTTGATAGTATGGGGAGCTGGGGGTTGAGGTTGCCCTGATTGCATGGTGTTTGCTGCCGTTCCTGCTGCCTGAGGATTCGGTACATTTTGAGCTGACACGGGAGGTGCGACTGGGGTTTGGTTCAAATTGACCGGTGTATTTGCCTGTGCTGCCTGATTCATCGCTTGATTCTGTGGATTTTGTTGTGACTGAATCTTGAAGCTTTCCTGCTGCTCTTTGAACTTGTTCAAGAACTCGCTACCCTCTCGGAAAAGCTTTTCAGCCGCCAACTGTCGATTTTTGAATTCTTGCATTTCCTCTTGGCTCATATTGCCTTGGGCCTGCCGCTGAGCATATGACGAACGAAGATCGGCCATCCGAGCCCGTCCAACCTCCTGCTTCTGAAGAGCGATACCATATCGCAATCGAGCCTCGGGTATCCATGTTTGCACCTGCTCAGGGGTCACGTTCGGAGGCAGGAAAAAATTGAGCGCGCTGACCCGGGCTTGGATTTGCGGGATGAGCTGATTGATCGTCTGGGGGTTGTTGGATTGGGTTCGCTGAACGGGTTGTCCCTGTGGTCCCTGCGTTCCCTGAGGAGCTTGTTGTACCGGTTGCCCCTGCTGTGGCTGTTGTCCCGGCTGTCCCGGCTGTCCCTGCACCGCTGCCTGCTGGTGTTGGTGTTGTTGTATTGCCTGATTTCGGTTCTGCTGGAAAACCCGCATCCCCTTCATCAAGTTCTGGGACAGCTGCGAGAGCTTGGTATGCGCCTGTTGGTATTCGTGGGTCTGTGGATCGCGGGTGTTCAGCAAATCCCAGAGGCTGCGCACTAGTTGGGTATGCTGGGCCTTCTGCTGGTCACTGAGATGCGGCAGCTTCTGCACTTGATCGGTTCGGATGAGGTTAGAGTGCTGTGGCTGGGGGGGCACCCATTGGCTGACCAACTTGGCCAACTTGACCCTGAGACCCATCCATCTCTGCGATGATGATGATGTACTAGTGCTCTGCTGAGGATTCAAGGGCACGAAGAGTTAAACAGTGTTGGAGAGGATAATCGACGCGAAAAAGTCTGTCTTTAGAGATACAGCCGGTCGCAGTTGTCTGGATAACAAGCGAGGATATATTACGCCGCAGAAGATGGCAGATTAGGATAGTCCGAATGCAATGGACTTTAGATTTGGCAGATTACAACTTTTGACGGCGGTGATGGAGGCGGTCTTGGCATCAACCCTCTATGGAACTACAATCTCGAAGAGATCTTTATTATCTATATTATTTGGTAGCTGCGATAGATCTGTAATTATAATATTCTTTGATCTTCCAGTTTAACTATGTAATCTATATAATCTATGTGGTATTGCTGGGGGCATATATCCTATACATTGCTCCTGATATACGGGCATATAGTCCACCTCTAGGGTCGACCCCTGGAGAAAGGCCCGCAGAAAGCCTCCCAAGGCCTGAGCCCCGGGGCTCCAGGGCAGGGGCTTACCTAATCAATGTCCCCGCGCTTTAACATTGGAAGGCGGTCAATTCCAGGAGTGTGCACGAACCAATATCATGTGCCTACATACCACATCCCTAGGTAACCATCTAGTTAGTTATCTACCTAGGTAGTTAGCTACTAGTGTAATTTAAATCTGACTTCAGTAATTATTTTGCTTGGAATTCGCAATGTGGGTGGCATGAGTGACAAGAATAGTGGTCCGCTTGTGTGGCCTTGTCATATCTTCTTTTTGGTGCACTTTTTAGTACAACATTCACCCACCTCCACTCAACTTTACTAGTGCACAATTAGCGTAGTGTTCTATATGTTAGTATTCTTTTACAAATGAATAGTATACTAATTTTTTTTAAAAACAGGGCTCTTTGCACTCCTAACTCTCAAATTTTAACTCTCAACTTCTTACTATCTTACTATCTTAGTAGTTACGTAGTAGGTCCCCTATTACTAGCAGCAATCACTGTCTAGCACCTCAATAGCATACTATCAATCAGATCAGATAGGAATTCCTCCAGTAACTACAGTATCCTAGGCCTCCTAAACCATAACCTACGAAGCTTCGATAAAGGAAAGTGCTGATCCCTATACTTTCTCTCAATATAATCCTTCATATAGTTCTACGCCTCATTAATAGGATTTAAATCAGGTAAAAATGTAGGCTATTTTATCACAATAACCCTAAGCCCCTTGAAGAAATCAAGAGTCTCTTTCGTAGTATGCCTTAGAGTATTATCGTAAATAACAATCGGATCTTACTCCCTTCTTAGACGGAAGAAGCCTTCTATCACAATACGTATAATATAGGATTCACTATATAGGTATAGGGACTTTTTAAAGTAAATTTAAATTGGATCTGAAATGAATCTGAAATGAATCTGAAATGAATTGGTAGATCTCTTGGCCGCTAGTTTAGGGGTGGGTGAATCTTTATAGAGTAGACTGTTGTAGTCTTTTTCAGAGATTTGCCCCGTTTGTCCCGTTGATGCCAGACTTGATCTGCTAGATCCTCAATATCGCGATGACTGACGATGAAGTCAGTGTCATCTGGCCCTTTGGGCCTATGGATATAAGAGGGGCGACAACATCTACATCCTCTCAACTCGTTCATGATTTTCCGAATTACCGCTTTTTGATGCTAGACTTCATCTACTAGATCCTCAATATCGTGGTGACTGATGACACTCTCAAGTCATCTGGCCCTTCCGGCCTAATGTGGATATAAGAGGGGCGACGGCATCTACATCCTCTCAACTCCTTCATAATCTTTAGGAGTATTCGGCCCTTCGCTTTCGCCCCTAACCCCTTTGGGGGTTGGGGCGGTTGTTGGGCCAAGCATTTGGGCCGAGTAAGTAATATATCCGTGATTATTGATTCACTTCTAATAGTATTCTAGGCTTCTGTGCCCCAATGTTTCTAGGGATCTCAGAGAAGCTTATGGGGTGACCGGGAAGGCCGAGATGTGGGAGGGTATCTAAAAAGACCATCGAAAAGACTACTGAAAAGATACGTCAAGACTGCATAAGCGGCCGACTGTTCTTCTCTTAATTCCCGAAAATCAGATGTATCATATATTTCTATGAAGAGCGAAAACACCTCATTCATATATAACCACTTCAAAGTCTTTTGACAATGTATGTAGGAATCAGTGGTCTTACTACTAGTCTGTCAATTCCTAAACAAAGGACCCTAAAGCTCTGGTCTTGTTGCGCTGATAGCATGTCTGTTGTGATGCGTCCACATCAATGTAGGCTTGCCTGCTACCGTCCCAATGCACCCAGCTTGCTGTCGGTAGCAGTGCGTTGTTTTGAAGTTGCTCTCTAGGATCTCGAATGACTGTGGCTCTTCATCGGTGGGATCGCCGTAGCGCGTCTTCTTCGCCCATTCTTGACGTGGCCGTCCTGTTAAGGGACTACCGCGTAGCAGTGCTGTCTTGCGGATCTGGAGTGGTGGTCTTCTGTGCGTACCAGGGTATGATATGTCTCCAGTTTCTGTAGTGTGTCAGGAAACTGTAGATCCGCTATCGCTCGTAGCTTCTCCTCCGGTGTGGACATGCCGAGGGCGTCAACTCGTTGTCCTAGGATCGAAACCCGGTGGAAGCCGATGTATGCCTTCTTGGGTTCGAGCTTGATGTTGTAGGCTTGTAGGCATTGAAAGAGTCGGCGTATGTCTGTGATGTACTCTTGCAGATTTGCTGACGCAACGTCCATATATGCTTTGCACCACTTCGCGAATTTCTTTAGGATCAGGTCCATTTGCCTCTGGCGACTGAGTTGCGGTAACCCGTTATGGCGACGTTGAATATTTCTTGACCTCGGTGGCTGATCACTGCCATGCGCGGGCGGTGTTCTAGCTTTATGGAATTCTATAGTATTCGAGGTGATCTGTTTGCATCCCTGCTTGTAAGAAACATATAACTAGCCAATCGGCTAGCAGGGTTGTTCTTTCTAACAAGATTATGGGAATTTTTGGATTGCAGAAATATCGGGGGAAAAAAAAGAATATGGTTCCCCTTATAGATTTCAGATATAGGCTGCGCAACAGCTCGACGAGGCTATAACCCGAATCACCGATGTGTTAAGATAAATTACTTGTGTTCAAAAGCCATTTCTCTCACGGCGGTCACCCAAGGAACATTCTTTCTTTTATGTAGGTATACTCACGGGAAAAAAAACCCGGCAAGAGGTGAGCCCTAAAAAAGACACCTAGATGATATTGGAAGAAACAAAAGAGGAAATCCACTACTATGTTATATGTATTTTCTACCATGTAGCATGTTGTTTGATACAGACTAATAATATCGTGAATGATGGATTGATTTCGATGTTCATAATTATCGTAAGGCATAGAAAGTTGTATCATGGAAATCTCTCATGGGTAACTTGAAATGAATAATGATAAGGGCACCAGAGGTCGCTGGTGGTCGCGGGTGGTGATGACCTTGACGCAGGGCGTGCGGCGTCCTTTTTATGACAATTGAAAGTGACCCAGCTGTAAACTTTGCTCGGAACAATGGCTCAGTACGCACAGCAGCCTGCAACACCGAGGAGCCTATTCTGGCCGAGTATAACTGACCCTATTGACCAATAACACTTGGAGACATGGCTAGGGCAGGGTAAACCAAGGGAGAGCCATGGACCCGGAAAGCTCTTTATTGAGTAAGAGAGAGAGAGCTGCGGTACCCAGCCGGAGGAGGTGTCCACAGAGCAAGATGTCCTTTTCTGGTGGGTAGCGAGGCAGACAAGATGTCAATAGAAAGTCTTCCACAAGGCAGGAATATAGCCATGACGAAAGAAAAGAATCAGCCTATCAATCCACCCAGATCTCGATCCATGCCTGTAACCCGTTCTTCTAGCCTTCGCTTCCTCTGCTCCAGGTTTCGGATTTCGGTTAACTCTCGCTCAATATCCTCATCAGTGACCTCTGGAATTTCTGGTTGTGCCACCGGTGTAGGGCAAAAATCATCTTCATCATCTCCATAAGAGTGCCTCATTTGATCTAGTTCTGCAGTGTTCGTTGCAACCCGACCTTCCAACTGTGCTATGGACTCACAGATCATCTCATGCCGATAGCGAAGGTTGGCAATCTTTTCCTGTGCACCGGCAACCGGACTTTGAGCTGGTTAGATTGAACCAGGAGTTATTATCAAATATGTGTGGCACTCACTAAACGTTGCACAGGATTTCGGCACCTCGAAGAAGCACTTCAATGTTGACCTCCCCGCGGGGTCCTCTAGTTGAGGTTCCCGCTGATCGCTTGATCTCTTCCATCATATCGTGTCCCAGTACCCTAGCCACTGCAGACTGGTTACGGTTGTCCCGTGCTGAATAAATGCGGCTTGCCATTGACTCCCTTTCGGTCTCAGCGGGGAACATAGTCCCGCGTCGTGTGGCACGTCTTTGTGGTCCATGGGCATTAGTAGAGGGATCGACCTGGAAGAGTGCTCGCTCGTGGGCTTCGGTGTCCCTGATCAAGGCTGTGATATCGTGGGGGCCCAACAGTGCAGTGGTGAAAATACGTGGGGGAGGAAACCTGGACGCGTTAATTAAAGCAATATGGTTGGAGTGATCACAAACACTAACGGCAAATCGGCAATGGCATTAGAAGAGAGTGTAATCTGCTCTAGGTGGGAATTTAGCAGTGACATGTTTTATGGGTGTTTTGAGAGCTCTGGAACGTGAAGGATGAGTGGTTGGATGCGCTACACTGCACCGCACTGTTTACTCCAGGAATCCAGGAAAGCTGCATATATGCCTAAGGCATCAAATTCAGCATATGTCTGTGTATCAGCAACCACGTCTAGCCACGCTGAAATTGACTGAGCAGGATAACACCAATTTGATTTGTGATTTACAGGTCGTATTCCTTTATTTGATAATTTTTCTTTTTTTTTTCCTAATATCTTCTTGTCGTCTTTCTAACAGCTTCGATAGCAAAAGTGCTAAGTTGAGGCCCGGTAAGCTCCACTGACTAAGCGCTCATCTGGTCTCTTGCGCCCGTTCATCCCATCTCTTGACATCACATCACCCATCCACTTCATCCATCTGTCCGCACCAGTTTTTCTTCATCATACTTGTGATATTGGCAGTTTGGCTCCCTAAATTGCTTTTCTCCTTCCTGTTTTCATATCGTGATCACTCGCCCTTCCCCCTACTTCTTCCGATAGCTTGGTGGCTGCCCAGCTGAGCTTGACAGCTTGAGAAAGATGCCGGCCGAAAGGCGTTCTTTGCGATCAAACAATAAATCCGACACGTCTTCATCCGCTAACGGTGAAAAGGCAAACTCGAACTCTCAGGGCTCGGGTGCGAAAGACAAGGCGCCTACCACTCGCGCCGCCAACAAGGCCAAGTCAGCTCCGACCAAGAAAGACGCAAAGGGCGCATCAAACGGCAGCATGAAAGAGGATGATCAGTCGCATACAAATGGATCGAAGTCAACCGAGAACGGTGTGAATGGATCCGAAGATGTTGAGATGGGAGAGGATACGGCAGGTGCGCCTACATCCTCATCCAACACCAGCAAGGACCGCAAAAGTAACGAGAAGATGACTGTTGTAGTGCCCCCTACCAAGGGTTCCAGATCGTCCGGCAAGGATAAGGAGGATGTGACGATGGAAGGTGCAGAGGGTGGCGATGTTGAGAACACTGAGCCAGAGGTCGACCCAACAACCAAGGCTATTCAAGGTTCGTCTAGTTTTCTCCCTTGCTCAAAATAAGTCCAGATTGCTAACGATGAATGCCTGTTTGTTCGGCATGGGGTTAGACATCAAATCCAACTTCACCTTGCTCGAGCGAGCCGTTGCCCACTTCGACCCCAGATTCACCCTCCGTGTTCTCCGATCGATATCGTCGATGCGGAAACACCTCACCCCGGAGGTCCTCGCCGAAGTCATTGTGGAAACATATTCCGCTTCTAGCTCCACCGCCTCGTTCCTGTTGGAAGCTCTCGGCCAAACCAATGCTTTCGAGAATGCTCCAGCCAGTTCGCAGATGGAGGTTGATTCGGATAAGAAGCCCATCCCCAAGGAGACCCTTGCCGAGGTAGATGCATATCTCTCCATTCTCGTCCAGATATACCTGTTCGACCAACGGGAGATTCAGAAGGGAGTTCAGTTCTCGACAGACTTGATCGAGCGCCTGCGAGCATTGAACCGTCGTACGCTGGATTCTCTTGCCGCCCGCGTGTACTTTTACTACTCTCTCTTCTTCGAGCAAGTCGCTCCGCTCCCTCCTTCTCCCGCAGCGGCTGTTACCACTATCCGCCAGCCATTGTTGGCAGCACTGCGCACGGCTGTGCTCCGGAAAGATGTCGATACGCAGGCTACTGTGATGACCTTGCTTCTTCGCAACTACCTGTCCACGTCTCATATCTCACAGGCAGATCTACTGATCTCGCATAACCCATTCCCCGTGGCTGCGTCTAACAATCAGATTGCTCGGTATATGTTCTATCTCGGCCGCATCCGTGCCATCCAGCTGCAGTACACCGAGGCCCACAGTCATCTGATTGGGGCTACCCGCAAGTCACCCGCTAGCCAGGTTGCTCGTGGATTCTACCAGGCCTCTCACAAGTTGTTGGTCGTCGTCGAGCTGTTGATGGGTGATATTCCTGACCGCGCAGTTTTCCGCCAGCCGGCTTTGGAACGGGCTATGCACCCTTATCTGCTGCTTTCTCAGGCAGTCAGTGTTGCTGATCTGGATGGGTTCCTCAACATTGTCAACACCCACAGCGAGACTTTCCGGAAGGATGGCACATACACCTTGATCTTGCGTTTGCGACAGAACGTCATCAAGACCGGTATCCGCATGATGTCGCTGTCTTACTCCCGTATCTCACTGCGGGATATCTGCCTTCGTCTCGGACTCGACAGCGAAGAATCTGCCGAGTACATTGTGGCCAAGGCTATTCGGGACGGTGTCATCGAGGCCACGCTTGATCACGAGCACGGGTTCATGAAGAGCAAGGAAGTGGGTGACATCTACGCCACTAGAGAACCTGGCGAGGCCTTCCACGAGCGTATCCGCGCCTGTCTGGCCCTCCACGACGAGAGTGTTAAGGTATGTTATTCTGTCTCCCTCGCTGAACATTCTTATTTCGTTGCCCTTACTAACATGGACTCGTCCAATTGCAGGCTATGCGTTTCCCCATGAACCAGCATCGCCTGGAGCTCAAGAGTGCCCAAGAAGCTCGGGAACGGGAGCGCGAGCTTGCCAAGGAGATCCAGGAGGGAGACATGGACGATGAAGATGCTGGTGGTGATTTCGATGCCATTTAAAGAGGAGTGAGGTTGTTCCATAATCGACACAGCATTCATTTCTTTTCTTCCCCTTCTACCGCACTGGTCCCATGCATGGGTCTCTACCTCGTAGCGGCCTTCTTCAACCCGTGTGTTAATTGTTTTGTTTTCCTTATTCTGACTCTTTATTCGGATGTGTACGAAGGGGGAATATGCAGGATGCAGGACCAAGATGGCCGGCGCAGTCTTCTCTGTGTCTATTATACTGGAATCATTTCTTGCCTTGTGCCTTTTATTAGAATTGTATCACAACCGAGTGATTAATGGCTTGTAAATTGTAATTTCCTCTAGGATTATTATTCCCTTGATGCTATTTTCTACAAAAGAAAGTCCAAAAGTGTCGGTAACAGGTCGCCGAGTCATACTTGGGCTGCGTAGCACCGGGTCCGTGCCGACCCGAGAGAGAGCTCGAAA